ACTTGGATACCGATCATATGTTACGTATCTTTTGGACTTACATTCCGCGCATCGTGACATTTGAATCTTGAATCAAATTGAACACGACGAATTATGAACAATCAATTATGAGTATCTAAAATGTACGAACTTTTTTTCATAAACAATACAGCGAAAATTTACACGGATCCAAAGTAAAGCTGAAGTGTTACCAAACTGTATGATAACATATTTAGAAAAATCTGAAACTAAAATGTTCTTCAAATATTTTTATATGTACGAACTTAATTAAATTTTACAGAATAATGAAGAGGTGTAGCCTCGGGTTCAGATTGAACATTTAATTCCAAATATATTGAGACAAGGCGTGTCTGAACTAATTGCTGGGTGTTTTTTGCAGAGAAGTAGAAATCAAAAGACTAAATTTTGCCAGTTTCAACTGTATTTACAGTCATCTTCAGTGGCTACTAATAAAATGATTTACATAATGGCATTGTGTGACAAAAAATAACAAAACAAAAAAAGTAAAAATAATGCAAAAGTAAAAATAATTACTTACAAAAGTAACTATCATTCACATTTAAAATTACGAGCTGTTAACTAGTTGACATTATATTCAAGACTGAAACAAAATGAAAGTCACTCACGAGAACAACAGCTTATTTAAATTTATCAAATATATTTTCTGATTAATGAATAATCCGGTAAATGTGAAACTCATAACCAAAGCTGTATCTTACGATTTCCAAGGTCTAGATATAAAGCACGCGATGCGGTAATATACACGTATCCACTACTTAACCTTCTTGTGTACTTCGGCACTTGATACCAATTAGTGCTATCAATTAACTACTCTTCTCGCACAACTATATAAGTTGGTAATTCTTTGTTGCTAGAAAAAAGCAAGACAAAAGTTATTGACACTGAAAAAAATATTTTTTTATCATAAAGAAAAGAAAAACTAAAATACTATGTAAATAAAAAATACATAAGACAATTCCCTCTGTATTAAATAATAGCTAAGTAATATCATGATACTGCATGTATTGTACCGGTTGTATTCGCATCATAATAACATGTTTTTGCTTCAACAAAAAAAACTTTGAGACAAATAAGCAGATTCTTGTGCGAATAAACGGCAAAATTTACGACTGAGACTTTCAGTGAGAAAGACGTTTTAAACATCTGCTTCTCGGTAACAAGAAAAAGATTGTCAAGTAGACAATGTCAATATATATTTTATTTGTTATACAAAACGGGAACATTATTGTCTATTGCAATTTTATAAATATACACACTTATGTGTAACATCAGATATATGACGACATATATAACGTTAGGTATAAGTTTTGTGTGTGACATTTTTGTTGTTTGTTCTTACTTGTACATTTAGAGAGTGTATGTATGTAATATATAAAATTGCGATATTTAGCAATTTGATAATTTGTGCAAAAAAATATTTAAGCATCAAGTATGAGAAGCGTTTAATAATTTTAGAATATCGACGAGACTGCGTCTGCAGTCAGACTGTATTCTCTCTCTCTCTCTCTCTCTTTCTCTTTCTCTCTCAGATCATGTGAGTGTTATATTAAATATATCTGTTTTTTTTATCGTTCTTCCGCCATCTTGTGAGGTCCCGAGTTCACTCGCGTAACCAGTTAATTCTAGTATACCGCGCGCTCTTCTTCCTCTGCTAGGCTGACATTCTTATCAGAACAAGACTACTCTCATTTAACAAGTGTGTTTGCGTACTTTTGTCGGTCGGAACGATATTGACAATTTCCGCTGAGTTTTGACTTTACGTAAAACCCGATTCAATATTCTCGACTGTACAATGATCTCTCTTTAACACATATATACGCGCAATGATATGAAACTGTTATCATAATTATAATCTATTATAATTGTAATTAATATATTAAAAAGTTTAAATAATAATTAATTTTTTATTGTCAGACTGAGTGTAAAAGTATTTTGGTATTGGCCACTCTGTATGTGTGTGTGTGTTTATTGATAGTATATATTTAATGGTGCGTTTATACTAAAAATGTTTTATACATTTCAATATGTTTCATAGAGTTTGAGATTTCACGATGACGCGAGTGGCGCAGGTTTTTCAAGCTCACAAGTACAGGAGCATCAATCATCCGCAACAGAGTCTCAGAGAGTGCGGAGCCAAGCTCGGAGCAAAATAAGTCGGAGTGTTTTATAACGTGGAAAACCCAATAACTGTATCAGTCTCGTGCCACGCTGAGAGAGAAGGAACTAGCATTTCCGAATAGGGAAGAAACGACGACCTCCCTTGAGAAACGTCCGGGAATTGCGAACGACCGGAGAGTAAGATATCGCAAATACGATCGACTCGCGGCAAAAGAAGTATCGAGCAAAACACTTCGTGATATCTCTTCGGCCGAGTGATGTTCTCAGCAGACCGATCGCTGTGAACTGTACTATAATGACTTCTTTCCCGACGACTTCCGCTTCTATATTTATCTATGTTTTACGAAAAAACAGAGTTTATTTTCATTCGACATTGCAAACATATTTTTCAATCTGTAGAGATTTTGTAACGTTTATTAATTTCGCAATATAATTCCGCTTTCGCAAAAGTGCAGTTATCGTAAAATTTAGAAAAGTAAGATAAAATTTAAAATACTTGCTAAAGTTATCGCTCATCTTGGATGTTTTATATGCGTTAAGATCAAAAATATTGCAACCGCTTAGTTCATATATCTCTCTTTTCTTCGCGCTCTTTTACGATACGCGTCTTTCGTAGTTTGTTAACGCTTTTGTTATCATAAACTTCTCTCGGAACGAGCAAACATAACTAAAATAATCGTAGAGATGCGATACATCGAAAGCACAATTATTCAATACCGGACTTGTTGTCATGCAAACCGGTTAAAACGGGTTTGATCTCCGAACTTCACTCGGTCGGATAATGACCCGTGTTGTTGATAATCGAAAGAATTGCCATTTTATATCGGAGAAATTGAGTGAAAAAATGTGCGAGCTAAACAAAACCGCGTTGAAGACGCGTTATCACGTTTTGAAACCGTGCCGTTATGAGACAAGAAGTTATTTTCCACGCGTGAGATAAGATTGCACGGTCCGCTGGGGGTAACAGAAATCGGATGATTTCTTTGCCTCGTGATGACGCTCGTCAATATCTGCGCTCAGTGACGCACAAAGCAATGCCCTTATTATATTTCAATCGCCACGTGATGCGTTGAAAACAATAATAATGGACGAAAGCGGATCGGATTGACGACCTTGTTTTAATGATTTGCACGAGAGATATACAGTTGCGAAATTTCGCGTCATCTATCGTACACACTATTTTGAGATCAAATGAAAAAATAATTAACAAGATTGAAAATTGCGCTGTAAAACTTTAAACGACTTGCCTAGTTAAGTATATTGATCACAGAATTGTTTTTAATTAATTAACGGGTTTTTAATTAATTAGCAAAATAAGTAATGAATTACCTTGTATCTCATTAACTGTTTAAATTTGCGATATAAATAATTCACCAATTAAAAAACTGCGTTTAATTAACTTTCACTCTGTTTCACGAAACTTGAAACAATAGGTTAATGCACATTAAATATTCTTGCGCTAATTATATAATATGTCACATAATGACATATTATACTTTATATTTATATACACATAATAATATATATATATATAAACATACACGCACATATAAACCAAAAGGGGGAATTTGTGTACTTTCATCGTGTGGCAATCACGTTATCAGTTGTGGAAAAAAAGTAACGAGACTCAAGTTGTTTGCGAGAGACGAATGGGAGAAGAACGGCGAGAACGAAAGAAAGAAAGAGAAAAATTGCGATGATTGCACCAACATAAGAGTCATATCAAATCGTAAGACGATTATTTATTGCTTGATGTCTCTCACAGAGAGACCCCCAGCAGCAGTTGCATCATTGTTGCTCTTCGTTGACGACTTTCGTATGACGATGAAAAATAATAGTTTTTTTTTATATACGCGTTATGACACGATAATTCTTGGCCTTTTTATAACGCGGTTCGTATAATATTTTTCTATATACAATATTCGACGGTTTGATTATTTCTAACGATTTGCGAACGAATCTTGTCAACCTTTAAATTGTAATTATGGATTAATTTGAACAGCGTTTTGGATGAATCGTAGCATCAGAGTATTATTCGAAAACTATTCGTCATTTTGGAGTTCATTTTTTTTTAAGATAATCCTTTCAGTATGATATTTTTGAGTACATAATGCAAAAAAATGTGCTTTATAATATATTAAAACAATTATTGCAAAAATATATTTCTTCCGTATTCTTACGAACAACATTGATACTGTAAATACGAATAAGGAAATTTTATAAAAGAAAAATGATATTTTCGGCATTCAATCTGAAAGCGTATTAGATGTCCTATAAAATTTGCGCATTCGTCTGCGATGTCACGTGGAAAGAGTACACATCGGATGTCACTGTATGTGAACAGAGTTTACCTTTAAAATCAATATTTTCCCATTTTAGAAATCGAACAAAAAAATACAGAGAAAAACGCCTTAGATTCGATAATTTAAACTTGTGAATTTCAAGATAAATCATACAAATAGATTTTATTGGCTGTTGTGTATCTATTTTAGAAGATGAGTCATATGTAAATGCAATTGCTTTTGATAACTTTGTTTGGTCGTCTCGTTGTTATTGCTCGTTTTTTCAGTATTGCTGTTTATAGAAAGCGTCACAAAATGTTGTAGTTTTGATAATATTGTCAATTTTCAATTTTTTAATATTTTTATTTTTAAACATTTATATTTTTAAATATTTTCAATTACTCTCTCGCGCACTTAAAATTCTGAAAATATCTGTCTAAGGTATTCATGATACCGAGTGTGTACATACTTTTCGTCAGCGAGCAAATAGCTAAGAAGAGGGACAGGCGTTCACAAACTGGCAATTCACTCACGCACTTGTCACCAGAGTGGGGACTCAGCTATAAGAATATAAATCACAGTAGAAACGAGAGAGTCAGTTTATTCGCTGTTGGATACTAATCCGATACAAAGGTGGAGCTCGTCGTTTCTGACATATATTTCTTTGCCGAAAAACGACTTGGTGAGACACACGGCGGATTTTCCACAATAAGAAGAAAAGAAAGGTAGGACGAGCATTTTAATTCGCATTGTCGATCATACTGTCTCGCGTACAGCGAAAACACGTCCGGAAAAATTGATACAAAGTCTCTGACACTTGTTGCTTGAACTCGAGTTTCTATCATCGTATGCATTAATTGCATTCTGACAATATTGAATAGAAAGTTTCAGAGCAAATACAAATCGCGAAATGTACAAGATACTTCGGAGTGGCTTGCACTCGTGATACGTGAAATATAATCGCTGTATTACATTGCACGTAGTATATTTTTCGCGAGATAAACGTGTCTGAAAAATGCAAAAAAAGATTAGAACTTATTAGTAAAACAATTTTATGAATATTATTTTCCTGCAATTTTTCACATTTTTAAGTCAAGATCGAGAGAAACTTTTGACGGAGACAGTCTGGAATTTTAATTTTTGCATTTATCGGAATTCATAAAGTAAAATTCTTCGTGAAATATAAATGACTTGAGAGAGGAAACTGAATGACACTTAAAAAAAAAATAAAAAGAAAGGAATCTATAAGAATTTCCGGTCTTTTTTTGTTGTCGGAAAACGGAAGAACAAACTTTTTACTTTTATATGTTGCTTATATAACTTTCAACCAGCAATCCTATTTTCCGGTAATCGCAATAAATATTTATTATTATTTTTTTGAATGAGAGATGCTTCATTACGTACGACCTTACATGGCAGAGACAAAACTGTGATTGGCATACAACAGTGATTAAGCATGCTCTATTGCCATTTTCATAAATCACGGTGTTTTGACATTCGTTGTCCGTATCTGACACATGATGAATGTATATATTACCGCGTGACATCGAGTAAATTGTTCCTAAAGCAAAACATACAGGCTACATTCCACAATTGAATAATTATTATCACTGTTTTTAAATTCATGCACTAAAGCACAAAAAATGATGTATAAAAATAAAACTAAACTGTCATGTAACGTTTACACTGACTGATGTAAAAGAAATAATTCTATATTATACTCTAATAAAGTTTTTCTTTTTTAAATGTAGTTTTCAATATCACTTAGATTTTTTATCGCCGATTAATAAGTATCAACTATCGCTGTTGACTCGCGATCACTCTGCGATTCACTTTTTTTCATTCGGATAAACATTATATCCAAGGACTTCCTTTGTTCAAGGATAACATGTCGGTCAACTTCAGGAGCGTCTTCATAAGCGATCCCGTAGATGAGTCTTGTGGCGCGTTATTAACCGAGCACGGAATTTCGGTTACCACGAAATATAAGCTGTCCAAGGATGAGCTGATCAAGGAGTTACAGGTAACTTGCAAAATTGCATGAAATAACAAACAGAATTTGCACTTCGAGAAAAGCACGAAAAATGGAGAAAATTTATTTTACGAAGTTTATAAAATTTGTTTAGCATTCAACGCGAAAGATAGATTTTAAAAGCGAGACTGTTTACGTGAAAAGAGGAAATGTAATTTAAAAAGGTTTAAAAAAGATTCTCTTGAAAACGCTCAACAGCTTACTTTATCTACCTATCTTTGACGCTCCCACATTTCTTTTTTTAGAGAGAGAACAAGTTAAATATAAAAAATATAAAATATAAATATAAAAAAAATATAAAAAATATAAAATATAAATATAAAAAAAATATAAAAAATATAAAATATATTATAAAATATAAAATATATATAATACATAATAAATATTTTAAAAAATCGGTGTTTATTACGTATTGCTTAAAGCCATGCTCGAAACTCATCTATAATTTGGTTTTATAAATACTAATACGATCGTATCATGAGAAGAGACGATTGTACATCTTCTTATCTCTTTTCTGCGCATCTAAATATTTCTGATAACAATCGCGAGTATCATACTTGACACATTATTTATCTATAAACAAAAGTTATCACACAGTCGGAATGTATTCGTCATAATATGCGTCATTTAAGATAAGCGTGTAAGTGCCGATAATGGACCCCTGGCGAGAAACTTTAGGCTGTAAGAAAATTATGAAAGAAAAAGTATATATATTGTCAGTCTTGTTAAATTGTAAAACTAGTTTTTAAACACACATTCTCGTCTGAGTGAAGAAAGCTCTTCAAGTGAGAAGCAAGTCTTGTTCGTTTTTCGATTATTGGATTACGAAAACTTTAAATATTTATTTTTTTAAAGATTAGAGAAAAGTGGGCAAAATCAAAATATTGTTGTCATATAGTTTCTTTTTTGTTTATTTTAACGGCTAAACTGATTGCACGGATAAAAAAAAACTGTCGTTTCTTCCACAGTCTGTGAGTTATATCTCGTCGTATATCGATAAGCCGATTAAATTTATACACAGAGATAAAATCTATTTGATTCGAACAAATTGAAAATCATTCTGTTAAAAAAAAAAAAAAAAAAAAAAAAAACATTCGAGTAAACTTGACGAAACAATTTTTGTAAACAAATTAAATTCAAAAACTGATCAATGTTCGACAGCAGAAAGTTTCAAATCTTCGATTCTATAAGATTGTTTTCTACAAAAAAATATCGAATATTTCTCTCTGAGAACCGAATCAAACGCATACGTGAAATTCCAAGGAATTTATTATTTATTCGGAACTAAAAAATATCCGCGTTGAATAATTCTATTGATCGGGCGAATTTCGCGCCGATTCGTTGTCAGTGTCCCAATCCATCTATAGGCCAGACATTCTTGATCTAGCGCAACGTTACAAGGCACGTTAATATGCAAGTAGCATGTGGGACGCGTCTTTTTATCCTCTTTTCCACTCCGTCTCGTTGTCGCCGTTTCTGTCTGTCTGTACGCGTTTGTTCCTTCTTTACTTAATTGCCCGCGCTCGAGTCGGCGATCCGGTTATATCCAGTTGAGTCGGTCGGCTTGAATACCGGTTAGCTGCAACGGGTCGTTGTACCACCCGGTTCGCTTCGTGTGTGCACGCGCATAGGCGCCCGTACAAGGAGATTTGCTTCACCATCCCTTCTCCGGCCGCCACATTTTTCAAGATATGTGTGTTCGCTTTAGAATCGCTTTCTACATTTTGTTCCTCTTTTCTTTCTTTTCCTCTTTCTTTTTGTTTCAAAACTTCCGAGTTTGACCCGCATTTTATAACAACAGATAATATAAAACTGCAACCACCATATATAGTATGCAGACAAATGAATTTAATACAACGTAACTGCAATCAATCCAAAACTCGCTAATTCTTTGATATATTCTCTTCGTGTACTCCAGCTTATAAGCACGCACTTCGAATGTGCGATTGTGAAAAATGACTTCGATGCAGGCGCCCATGCGACACGTGCGTTATCTCCGACGTATTTTTTACGCCATTAATTATACTATCTCTTAAACTGATTAGATGTGGAATAAATTTCTCTCGACTTTGCGCAAGTTTAGTAACCAGTTTGCACAAGTTGTAGCGGCGATCTTTAGCAATATAAAGAGCAATCGCATATTTATAATGTACATTCATATAAATTTATATTCTTAATACTAATTTATATTAATACGTGATGTAAACTGCATTATATCTATGTATGTACACATCTTTTTTTTTTGTTTTTACGTTTAAAAAATGAACATGATCGCAATTTCTGTCTTTTGTACTTTGATTAGTAAAAAAAACTTTATATATATATATATATATTAATGTACATGTTTTACAATTATGTTTGATTATTAATATATTATTATGTATATTAACAGAATCACGACGGTCTTATTGTTCGATCTGAAACCAAAGTCACGGCGGACGTTATCGCCGCCTGTTCGAACCTCCGTGTGATCGGACGAGCCGGTACCGGCGTCGACAACATAGATCTTCAAGCTGCTACGCGTAAAGGAATCATCGTACTGAAGTATGTATAGAATTCTACACTTTGAACTCTATATCATAATACACAGTCAGCAGTTATACAGTCAAAAGTCACATTCAAGATCGTCTCAAGTTCACATTTAGATGGCCTGTAGCTAAAATAAAACATCGTGCAGCATCTTGAATTGTGTTGAGCAAGTTAAGCAGTACAATAAAACTTACAATAATACAATAATTCAAAAATACCGAGAGATATTTCGTACGATTGCTTTGGTTAAGCTTGTGCAGGCGATGATTGCATCGTTTTCTTTGACAATTGCAGCACTCCGGGCGGCAACAGCATTAGTGCTTGCGAGCTAACATGCGCTCTGATCTCCGCGCTCGCGCGCAACGTGGCGCAAGCCGTGCAATCGTTGAAAGAAGGTCGATGGGATCGGAAACTGTATTCCGGATTCGAGCTGTCTGGCAAAACCCTAGGAATCCTTGGAATGGGCCGCATAGGCCGCGAAGTGGCCCACAGAATGAAAAGCTTCGGCATGAATATCGTCGCGTTCGATCCCATCCTTAAGCCCGAAGTCGCTGATCAGCTTGATGTTACGAAGATGAGTCTGGACGAGATATGGCCTGTAGCCGACTACATCACCGTCCACACGCCTCTCATACCGCAAACCAGAAGTACGAGAATCGTATTGAAGTATCGAGAACTAATCTAAATCTAAAAATTATGTAAAAAGTGTTTAAAATTGTCATAGAATTGTTAGTTAGAAATTTAACAGATGGTAATGAGAATTTTAACAGACTTATTTTAAATGTACGTTACGTACTTATGCACGTTAGAATGATATCAATACTTTTTACATTTGTGACATTGAACTTGACTGATTGTAGATCTGATTAACGCGACGACCTTGGCAAAATGCAAGAAAGGCGTGTGTATCATTAATGTAGCACGTGGTGGCATTGTTGATGAGGAAGCTCTCTTAAATTCATTGAAATCCGGCCACTGTGGCGGAGCGGCTTTGGATGTCTTTGTGGAAGAACCGCCGAAGAATCCGATTACTCTGGAGCTCATTAAACATCCGAAAGTCATCGCGACACCTCATCTTGGTATATAACATATTATCTCACACGTCAAAATTATATCTACATTTAATTAATTTGCGCGCTGTTGGAATAATCTTTAGTAAACCAACATTTTACCTTTTGTGTTCTCTATTTTTCTTTAATATTTTATTAAAAAAAAAAAAAAAAAAAAAAAAAAACGTAAGAGAGACAATGATCTCTTTGATTTCAGG